TAAAAGACAGAGGATGGTGGTGGAGATTTGCTTTTCAGACTGAAGGCCTGTGACCAGTGGTGTGCCACAAGGCTCAATGGTGTCCACTGCTTTTTGTCATTTATATAAATGATTTGGATGTGAACATAGGAGTAAGGTTAGTAAGTTTGCAGATGACACTATAATTGGAGGTGTAGTGGACAGCGAAGAAGGTGACCTCATAGTACAATGGGATCTTGATTAGATGGGCCAAGGAGTGGCAGATGGATTTTAATTTAGATAAACGTGAGGTGCTGCATTTTGGAAAGGCAAGTCAGGGCAGGACGTATACACTTAATGGTAAGGTCCTGATGAGTGTTGCTAAACAGAGACCTTGGAGTGCAGTTCATTGTTCCTTGAAAGTGGAGTCCCAGGTAGATGGGATAATGAAGAACGTGTTTGGTATGCTTGCCTTTATCAGTTAGTGCATTAAGTATAGGAATTAGGAAGTCATGTTGCAGCTGCACAGGACATTGGTTCAGCTACTTTTGGAGATTTGTGTGCAATTCTATCTCCCAACTATAGGAAGGATGTTGTGAAACTTGAAAGGGTTCAGAATACATTTCCAAGGATGTTGCTAGGATTGGAGGATATGACCTATAGGGAGAGGCTGAATACGCTGGGGCTATTTTCCCTGGAGCGTTGGAAGCTGAGGGGGTGACCTTATAGAGGTTTATAAAATCATTAGGGGCATGGATAGGATAAATAGGCAAGGCCTTCTCCCCAGGGTGGGAGAATCAAAAACCAGAGAGCATAGGTTTAAGGTAAGAGGGGGAAGGTATAAAAGGGACGTAAGGGGCAACTTTTTCATGCAGAGGGTGGTTCATGTAAGGATTGAGCTGCCACAGGAAGTGGTGGAGGCTGGTATGATTACACCGTTTAAAAGGCATCTGGATGGGTATATCAAATAGAAAGGGTTTAAGAGGGATATGGGCCAAATGCTGGCAAATGGGACTGGATTTGTATGGAATATCTGGTTGGCATGGATGAGTTGGACCAAAGGGTCTGTTTCTGTGTTGTATATCTCTATGACTCCATAAGCAAGCAGAGCCATTGACTGTTCGTGTTTTCATAAGTGATCAGCAACATTGTGGCTAAAACCAGCAGGGGTCCAGAAATGTTTAGTGGTTTTGAACTATAGAAAAAGCTACAAAAGGCTGTGAACAGAAAGTATAGACGAGTTTGGGAAGTGTGAAATGAAGGCGGCCAGGGTCACATTTGTCACATCCTCCCATTACAGCTTCTAGCCAGGGCACAATATTGGAAAATGCACTGGAAACTGCCGCTTAGATGGTGTATTGCATCAATTCTTATTTGTGCTTCATAAAATTGAAATCTACCACCCTTGAGTCAGTATCAGATTGTTTACTTATTAGGGTATACCAGCACTTAAACAGTTCAGATGACAGAGAGTCGAGATACTACAGCACAGACAGGATGTTATCAGTTGTAGGCCAAGTTTATGTCAATGCAACATTTCATGACGAGGCTACATTCAGAAGCAAATGGATATTCAGGAGGATGCAAAGAGGGGCAATGACATTTGATTGACTACAGTTTCCACAGGGTTATCAATGTGAATGATGAAGTGGGAATGAAGTTAGCAGTGTTAATTCCAGTGGAGATTTGTTAAGATATTGTATTTCAGCAGAGATCAGCTTTTATCCACATATACATGTCACCTAATTTTACTGCAACCTGTGTTCTGCTATTGCTGCCTCAGCTCATCTTCTGCTAACCCTTCTTCCACACTGTCATCATCTCCAGATTACCCTCTCCTTACTGGTCCTGCATCAACCACTCTCCTTAAACTTGACTTCTTCCAAACTCTATTGCCCATATCCTTGCTCACCAAAGCATCAGTTGAGCTTAGTTTCTACTCATCACAATTTTAAAATTCTCATCTTTGTTTTCAAAACATTCCATGACATACCTTCTTCATCCTTGTAACTTTTTTCGGTTCTCTAAACCCTTTAAAATCTGTCTCAGCACAAGTACATCCCCTACCCTGATCACACCATTGCTAGAAACATTGCTTATATGGTCCCAAGCTCTGGAATTTCCTCCCTGAACTATTCCATGTTTGCCTCTTGAAATTGTTAAAACATGTCTTTGATCAAGGTTTTGGTCATTTGTCTTGTCGTCTATGGAGCAGTATCAAATCTCATATGATAACACACTGAAGAAATGTTTTGGGATGTTTCAATGTCAAATGTGCTAAATAAATGCAAGTAGCTATTGCTGTTCAAAGTCAGAGAGAGGAGTATTGAGGTGTTGAGGTTATATGACCCACAACCACAGCCAAAGCCATAGGCAAGTCATGCAGAAGGCAAATAAACCACGAACTGAGTTAAACATTGAATATCATTGGCTGCAGTACATTTTGAGGGAGTATTGAGAGCAGAGGAGTAGAGAACTCATCTTCAGAGGTGGGAATTAGGTTCAATGATTGGTAGTGCATACAAGTGTATCCAGTAAAACAGCTGAAAGATAAGCATAATGAGCAACAATGGGAAGCAGGTAGAAAGTGGCTGAGAAAGATAGGAATGGATTACAATTGTTCCCATCTTGTTCTGTAACTAACAGATTAGAGTTAGCTCAGAAAGTGAGAAATGTCCAGCACAGCAGAAAATTGAGGGCGCAGCAAGTCTCCTTCCAGAATTGGATAATCCCCAACCCAGCAGAGAATACAGCTTTAAACTTGCAGCTTGAATTTAAATGCAACTGCATTAAGAATCAGGAAATCTTAAGCAATGGAAGACCAAGGTTTGAATTGCAAATAGGAAACTGGTAAGAAGCTGCTTGTTCAGGAGCCATCTTAGATGATCAGCCCCAGCTACATTTACACTTTTTAAATTTACTTATGGAACTTGGATGTTGCTGGCTGGGCCAGCATTTATTACCTGTCCCTAGTTGTCCTTGAGAAGTTGGTGGGGAGCTGCCTTCTTGAACTGCTGCAGTCCATGTACTTTACCTCCCGCAAAGCCATTAGGGAGAGAATTCCAGGATTTTGACCCAGAGATGCTGAAGGAATGGTGGTATATTTCCAAGTCAGGATGATGAGTGGCTTGGACTGAAACATGCAGATGGTGTTGCTTCAACCTTTCTAAAATAACTGCAAGCACAATTTAAGAAATCACATGCACTGTGTACGAAGAAACTATGTATAATGTGGATTTATAACAAAGTGAAAAGTAATTTTTTTTATTGTTAATATACCTTGGTTTAGAAATGTGAATGTTTGAGTAGGTTAATTGTAAAATAGTATGTTTTTTTAAAAAGGGTACATCACATATTTGCAACATGCCAACATGCTGCATCTTCAGTGCAATTCAATTGTAAAACAAAGTACAACTTCTTGTATATTAACTTGTTTTAATAACACATCAAAGCACTCACTGTTCACACTTTTCTATTTTTAGAAGTTCCATCATGAATTATTTCTTATTTTGGATGTCTGATGCTTCAATAAAGAGTGGGTTTACCATTAATGAAGCAAGGTGGTCAGATAAACTGCCATTTAATGAAACTTCAGCAATATTGTTTAGAATTAAGACAGTCAAGATGACAAAATCCAAGAAAACAACCAGTAGTTCTCTATGTGTCACCAGAACCTTGGGATCTAATTACAGATGCTGTCTGTTTTAATTTTTTTTAATTGAAAGGAGTCTCTTCATGCACCACACACACATTCTGCAAGGTGTTTTCTTTGCCAGACAGAGAAGGTAGATTGCCAGAAATTAAGCAGAAGGTACATTGATCTGATTGAAGAGTTTATCCTTAATAACTTGGGACATCAAGCCATGTATTGCTTCTATGGTAGTCTTGCAGCTGGAAAAAAAAAAGATAAAGATGACTAAATTGGAATTGCTCAAGTCTAGTTTGTTTCAGAAAATAAAAGCTCTTATGTTAGACACCACGTGTACAGACAAAAAGGCAAAGTAATCCCATTCTACAATGCCAGAGAGACTTTGCTTTTCAATAATCACCATATGCAGCAAGAAGCCATCTCCATTATTATCTCTTCCTTCTCCCTCTCTCAACAGCTCTGACAATAATCAAAAAAAATTACTTTTGCAAAATAAGGCACATGAAATTATTTCTTACACTTTGTCTCATAGACAGTACATTTTAATTCTAAAAGTAGAGAGAAGATATTACTTTTTTAAAAAATTGCCTTTACCTGTCTCGTGTAGCTTTGGCTAACTTATCTTCAGATTTTCTATCATGGGTGTCCAAACCAAGCATGAAACTGCCTCGACCAAGCTGAGCCTCTGACTGTTCCAACTTTTCAGACAAGTCAAAGACTTGTCCTGTGGTGTAATCAGCATTCTGCAGTTAAATAACAAATGCAGACAGATTTTTATTTAGCTATTTATCCATACAAAAAGATGAGAATTTATAATAGAAATGTATTGCGGTTGTAAAAGCATATAGGACTTCAAATTGAGAATCATTACATCTGTCAGCCTGGTTCAAATATCCACCACCTCATTCAAGTTTTACCCGATGTCTGTACATGGTCTTCAATTCTTGTATAAAACACTAAGTGTGGTTAACCAATAACATTAAAACTGACTGGGTGAATACATATTTTCTGTTTTATATCAACTTTGACTTTTTTAATGACTTACTTTTTCTAAAATTCAGAACATGGTGATAATACAATACCAAATAATATGTAATATGGGGATACACATCAAGTAAACATTGTGAGTGTCTCTGTACCTCAAAGACTGCAGCAATTCAAGTTGGCAGCTCAGAGCTACCTTTTTCCAGATGAGCACTAGATGTTGGCCTAGTCAGCACTGGATACAGGAGTGGGTTTTAACTTCACTCTAATGATTCTGCATTTTAGTAAGATTCAAGGATATTCCTACACTTTCTCAGTTCTGTGGTGGATGCCCCAAAATTTGTCACTGTGCAGCATTTAGGAATTCTTTGGTCTGTCATTATCATTTTGCAGGAATACCATAACTTGGCAGAATTGGTAACCAAATATGGGACTCCATTTATATTTTATATTCTTCCGCAGGAAGGGGGATGTAGACAGCATATGTTGAACATCCCTGGGGAAGGTGTAGGCGAGCCACTATCTCAAACTGCTGCAGTTCCTATTGTGAGGCCCACTCTCAGTGTTGCTAGGGAGGGTGTTCCAAAATTTAGACTAAACAACCAGTGAAGAAATGGCAATAATGGCATCAAATGAGATCATGTGGGGCTTTGAGAAAAAGCTGCAGGTTATGGTGCTCCCATGTATCTGCTGTTCCTATCCTTCTAGGTTTTCAATTTGGAGGAGCTTTATTGAGTTGCTGCTGTGTGTTTTGTAGACAGTACATACTGCAGTCACTCGGCATCAGTAGTGAAGGGAGTGAATAAGCTGGCAGAGTCACTTCACCCCGAATGGTTGACTGTCCAATGTTATTGGAGCTGCATTCACCAAAGCAAGTTGAGAGTATTTCATCACAACCCTGACTTTTGCTTTCTAGATGGTGGACAGGATTTAGGGAGACAGAAGATGGGTTACACATGCAGAATTCCCATCCTGTGATCTGCTCTTGTCACCACAATGTTTATATGACTTATCCAATTCAGTTTCTAGTCAATGGTCACTTCCAAGATATTGATAATGGGGGAATTCACTGATAGTAATGCCTTTGAATTTCACGGAGAGATGGTCAGATAGTCTCTTGTTGGAGACGGCGATTGACTGGAACATGTGTGGTACAACTGTTTCTTGCCACTTATCAGCCTAAGTGTGAATGTTGACCAAATATGAATTTGGACTGCTTCAGTATCTGAGGAGTTGTGAATGGTGCTGAACATTGTAGAATCATCAGCAAACACCCCATGTTTGGTCTTATGATGCAAGGAAGGTCATGAAGCAGATGAAGGTAGTTGGGCCTAGGATACCACACTGACAAGCTCCTTCAGTGATATCCAGGGACTGAGATGATTGACCTCCAACAATCACAACCATTTTCCTTTGTGCTAGGAAGGTTACATCACAAGATACAGGTCCCTGGAGTTAGGATAATGTATTGACATAGGTAGAGCTGGGAGGCAATGGTCCATTGGTATTATTACTGGACTGTTAATGTTGAGACTCAGTAATGTTCAGGGACCCAGGTTAGAATCCCACCCTGGCAGATGGTGGAATTTTGAACAAAATAAACAAAAATCTGGACTTAAGAGTCTAATGATGACCATGAACCATTATCAATTGTTGGAAAAACCCGTCTACTTCACTAATGTCCTTTAGTGAAGGAAGCTGCCATCCTTACCTGGCCTGGCCTAAATGTGACTCCAGACCACGGCAACATAGTTGACTCTTAACTGCTCTCTGGGTAATTAGGGATGGGCAATAAATACTGGCTTAGCCAGTGATGCCTTCAACCCGTGAATGAATATAAAACAAAAGATTGGTTACCGGACAGGAAGCAGAAAGTAGAGATAAATAGGGCATTGTTAAGCTGGTAGATGGTGACTAGTGGAGTACCGCACAGATCAATGCTGGAGCCTCAGCTATTTCAATGTATATTAATGATTTAGATTAAGAGATGGAGGATAACATATGTAAGTGCTGACAATACAATGCCAGGTGGAAATTCAAGCTATGAGGTAGACAAGAAGCTATAAAAGTTTAGATAGGTTGAGTAAGCAACAAAGTGGTCGGTGGAATACTCTGCGGAGAAGTGAGAGGTTATTCATTTTGGTCAGAAGATTAGAAAAGCAAAATATTTTTTAAAAGACACAGAACTTGTAAATGTTAATGTTCGGACAGACTTGGGTGTACTCATACAAAGAACATAAAATTAGCATTCAGGTACACAAATAATTAACCCTTATTGCAAGGGTTTGAAGTATAAAGAACCCTTGCTGCTATTGTACACAGCTTTGGTAATACCACTGTCATGATCCCTAAAGAGAGAATTAACTTCTGTCAAGTTTCTAGTGAATGACAGAAATGATCACATGACATGATTTCAGATTTTATGACTTTTCCTGTTTAGGATTAAACTAAAAATAAAATTGATCAAATACCGTTTCAGCAGACTACTTATACAGAAAAGATCCACCATTTAACATTGAAATTCACCAAAGTACTCCATCTACACATACTTTATTCTGTCCCTTAATGAACGCAAGAAAGATCAGATTATTTTGATTAAACTGGTAAATACTAGTGCACACACTTCAGCCTCTTGATTTAAAATCCCAAAACAGCCCTCAATTTGCTATGATCCCCATAGAGACCAATAACTTTTTTAACAGAAACCCAAACCATAGTGAATTACAGAAGATCGCATGACAAGTTTTCAGGTTTTAATACTAACTCTAACTAAAACTGAAAGTAACACTGACATCTTGATTTTCTAAATGCAGTCTAACTCAGAAAAAGCGGCACTGTTCAAAGTAAACTAGTTACAACTATAGTAGACTGCAATATAAAACACAACCAAAGCAAATGTTTTACCACTGGCACACATCATTGAATTCAAATAAAGATTAATCCTTATGATTCTGAATGCCTTTTGAAACTTGCATGTTTGTTAAAGAAAATCATTTTAGCAGTTATTTCAGTCGGCCACTTATACTCAACACTACTGAAAACTTTTCCCATTTAACCTTTGAACTGTCCCTCCACGGTTGTTTATAGGCCAAAGTGATCACTGAAAGCTGAGGGATCACAAGTCACAATCTGCTAACTTGATAATGTCACATTTACCTATACTCTCTTCTTCCTGTCTGTTAACTCATCCTCGGAAACACATCAGCCACCAACTCCAGTAGCTGTCATCATTTAAACAGTTTCCTTCCTCGCTTTTCCTTTTCCTTCCTCTTCCTTTACCAGCCAAATAACTTCTGATCCTCGAACAGGCTTTCATAGTGAGGGACGAATTGGATGATTTCCGTCCAGCTTAAGTAAAGTAAATCTTCCAGCCTCATTTAAACACTCGTGAACTAGAACTCTTCAGTTGGTGTGCACGCTCCCACCCCTTTTGCCTGGTGAACCTCTATTCTAATGGAAGGATACACTGATGTTGGAGACAATTCAACGAAGAATCACTAATTGGTTCCTGGGATGAGAGGGTTCCTTACTTATGAGGGGTCAAGTAAATCAGATCTATGTTTACTGAAGTTTAAGAGAATGGAGTGATATGTTTGAAATATGCATATATATTAAATAGATAAAAACTGAGGCAGACCATTTTTGGTGTCTCTGGGATTCAAGGGATAATAGAGATTGGATGGAAAAGTGAAGCTGAACCCCAGGACTGAACCCCACTCCCTGCACCACACACACATACACATACACAGATTCCCATTGACTTTAATTTTGCTTGGTTTCCTTGATTCTTGGTCCAATGCTTGATGTCAAGTGCATTCACTCTCTCACCACACCTTTGGAATTAGCTTTACTGTCCAAGTTCGAACCAAGACAAAACTGAGGTCAGGGGATACGTGGCCCTGACGGAATCAAAACTGAGTGGACTGCCACTGATTGTAGTGTTGCTGACTCTTTCAATCATTTCACTGATGATCAAGATTAGATAGAGTGGTGATTGGATGGTTTGGATTTGTCCTGCTTTTTTATGGATAGAACACACCTGGGCAATTTTCCATATTGCCAAGTAGATTGGTACATTTGTGGTGTTTGCCGGTAGTGCGGAGAGAGATGGAAAGTGTAGGTTTTACAACTTAGATAGAGGGACCAAAGGTCTGGGAACACTGGATTGCAGCTTTATAAGCAATCACTACACAAATTAAATTTGATGTTCTGTAACTGCTTGAATGAATGCGCTCGTGTTTGATCCTCTCTTTGTGCTTCTTTTGTGCTGTTCGTTCTACTTCATTGTCCCTTTTTCAGTCTCTCAGGTGTCAGCAATTAACGTCAACCATGATTCACAGACAGCAACATTCTCACTTCTCGAATCAGTCGGTTGCAGGTTCGAGTTACACTCATGAGACGTGAACACAGAAATCTGATCTAACATCCCAATGCAGTGCTGAGGAAGGTGTCATCGTTTGGATGAAACTTTTAACCAAAGCCCTGCCTGCTGACTTAGGTGGCACTGTTTTGAACAGTAGTAATTTATCGCTGATGCTCTGGCAACATTTATCACTCAGTCAACCCTAAAACAAATTATTGATTGCTACCTCACTGCTGCTTGTGGGACTGTCTGTGCACAGATAGTCTGCCACTTCTCACAGTATCAAAATAAACACTCATCTGAAGTGCTTTATTTGCTGGAAGGCATTTTGAGACATTGGAGTCTTTGTGAAACGAGTTACATAATTACAAGTCTATCCTTCTAAACAAGCAAACAGGTAACTTGGAGGTATATTTTCTTTCACAATGAAACTTTTGTTAAAATAAGGACACTAATTAGTTTTGGGAATACTACTCTTATCTCCATCCCTTTATTTAGGATGTTTCTGAAGTTCCCAAATTACAGCTGATGGCAGCCATTGGTCGTCTCCATTGTAAAATCCAACTGTTTCTTGAATTATTACACTGGTTAAAGCTCCATTTTTAGTGCAAAATCTGAGTTATGCATCAATTACTATGCATGCATGCATTTTCTGCTATAAATTCCAAATCTGACTGCCATCTTGAACTTCTTGTAGATATTTTTAATCAAGATATTCAGATATGTTATAACAAACCTTTGCAGCAGGTGAGACTTGAACCTAGACTATCTGGCCGCGAGGTAGGGACTGCAATGCAATTGCCCAGTGTCTGCTTAATTTCTGAAATCAGGCGGAATTAGCTAATTCAGACTAATATGACCTTCACCTCCTTGTATTCAGTTTAATATACCAATTTATTCTCTTCAATTTCTTAATCATTTTATATATCTCTAATAGATCAGCTCAAATTTCTTGAGTTTTTTTTCCATTATTCAAACTTATAATACAGGTACAAAAACAAAGTTGCTGGAAAAGCTCAGCAGGTCTGGCAGCATCTGTGGAGGAGAAAACCGAGTTAACGTTTCGGGTCTGGTGACCCCTCCTCAGAACAGTTCTGAGGAAGGGTCACCGGACCCGAAA